GAGCTTTTGCGATTGTTTATCAACTATTCAAAGTATTGAGCAACGTAGTGTTCAAACAAAAAGGCCACGTTAACTCTCATCCTCTGAATCTTATCTGAGAATTTACGTTTCAAGATTTTGTTCTTTATCCTGTTTTCGCGAAAATACTATAATGACGGACGGACGGATGACCTTTTTTACAAAATATATGGCAAAATCATATTTCGGTTTTCAGCATAATAGTGTATACTTCGCATTACTCAAAACTGTAACCATAGCTAACTAATGTTCTGATAGAATAGAAATTAACTTAATCCAGAATTTTTCCCAGATTAGCACAATTAAGGCTAAAAATTTGTTTAATCACTATAGGGAGACAATCTATGCGAGACAAAGCATTAGAGACCGAAGACTGATAAGTTGTGTCTGAGAATAAAGATAAAAACTATAAATTGTCCATTGCGCTTATATATATGTATATATATCCATCTTGGAGGTATTCTGCCCTGAAGCGCTTGTTAATAAAGATAAAAGAAACTTACAAAAGGACAACATTTTCAATGTATCGAACGTCCATGAACAGATGGCGAATTCATATACGGCTTAAAGGCACTTTAAAGCCATTGAAAGATTCAAAGTCAAAATAGTTTCGATGAATCTCTGGTCAAAAAAAAAGAACTTTTGTGTGGCACATGTATATATTCACTTGGAAATAAATAAATAAAAGTGGCCTTCATGAGGAAATATTTTCGTCAAGCTCCCGTTTCGCGCCAGTCGCTGGAGCCAAGAAGCAAATTGCGTGTTACGCTGTAGCGAAACTCGCTTCTATTAAGGACGGATTCAAGGCTGTTGTGTTAGTGTGTTAGTCAGTCATATAATCGGTTTGTATTTCCCGGTATCCAATTAAAAGTTTATTCGGTTCTAATTTAAATTTCGTTAACCTGGCTGGCCTGGGGACAAGTTAATTTTATATAAAAGAAAAGAAGATTTTACTCCGACTATTCGCTGTCCTTGTAAATTTTAATCAAGGCCTTCTATGAATAATTTTAGCTTGAAAAACTTTCTTTTCCTTTGCACTTTTCAAGTTTTAATATTTCTTTTTTAACTGTTTTCCTCTCTTTGAATTAAATTTCTATGCTTTTCTTTTCTAATCCTTTGTTAATTTAAATTATTCTTATATTGTTTCTCTTCTTTTTTTTTCATTTTTTTTTTTTTTTTTTTTTTTAATTGGCATTATTGCTAGCCATGAGCTTTCATCTGTTAAATGTTTTATGTTAATTTCTTTATAATATTTTGTTATATTTTGTGCATTGCTTTCGCAGGCGCTCGTGTATTTTTTTCTGTATAATTTCAATTTAATTTCTTACCTGGTAAACCGTGTAATTGGCCTCGAGCATTATAAAAAAACATTGGAGTGAGAAAAACATTAAAAAAACAAAAAAAAAAAATAAATAAATAAATAAATAAAAGGAAAAAGAGAAACAAGGCATTAAAAAACTATTTAAGAACGTATACTAGAGCCGTTGCTAACTTTGTTGCTGTCGTCTGTTTTCTTTTCTTGTTAAGTTAATTAGGTTGATTTCCTACACAACTCTTCAATTTTCTACTTTCTATTTTGTGTAACGGGAACGACGAACATAAATAAGAAAACAAGATGGGACACTTGTTGTTGGTGCAATGCGAATAGTTATTACTCAACATTTCATTGAAGCTTGAAACCAAGCCTTTTTTATGCCAGCCCTTGTATACGCAATTTTTCTTCTTTTTTTTTTTTCTTAACAGCCACCCTTGACGACAATGATGGAGAGAAAGATTGGAAGTAGAGAAGAGAAAATCATTGTTTAGATCTTTTCTTTTAAGTTTACATCTACACGCAAGCATTACTATCGTTTTCGATCCATCCATCCATGAAGCCATCATTTTAATAGTTAATTTTTGGACTAACATAGAGCTTAGTTATATATGAGAATGTGACACAAAAGATCGGATCGCATTCCATTTTAAATGCTAAACGCTTTTTGTGTAAATAACATAAAAAAAAAGTAGACCATCATCCGTAAGATATTGGAAAGCAAAAGTGTTATAAGAATGGAAACAAACAACAAGCAGCAGTGTTTGCAATAGCAATCGCAAATGCATTGGTGATAGCAACAGCAATCGCAATAGCAATCGCAGTAGCAATAGCAATGGCAGTATTGGCATTGCTTACCTCATATGTCAATATGACAATAGCAATAGAAACATCGACAGCAATAGCAACAACATTAGCAACATTTTATTATTTACGTTGCAGATGAATTCAGAAAATGAATATAAACCGAGCGCTATAATCGATGATGAAGTTAATCTAATTATTTTTTTGGTTAGTTACAAACGACCGGCTGTAGGATGTAATGACTGGGGAAATAAAATTGAGTAATAACACCAGAACAGCGTTACTAATTAAAAACATCCTGACCTCAGCTGCGTGTTTCGTTTGTCCAAAAAAAAAAAAAAAACAATAAAAATTTCATTTAAAGAAGTAATAAAGCGAAAATAATTGCTCAGGAAAAAACCCATTATTTACTGGTATGCTTTAAGGCTACTTATCTAATATACGCGCCAGCGGTCGCTTTGTTACGGTTGCTTAATAAGTTGTCTTCCACAATCATTAAAGCGCTTTGTATGCTAATGCCGTGCGGAGAAATAATTTAACTTCTAATCACATGACTTGGGAGCGAAAAATATAAATATATTGCAGGCAAAAATGTACTTGATTAGTTTGCTTAAATAGATCAAGTTAAGAAAGAGGAGGAGAGTAAGGCAGCGTAGTAAATATGAAAACTAATATATTAATATATAGAGCACAAGGTATCATCAAAGGCGGATCGAATAGGAATTTCTTCTCATTCGGAAATCTTAGTCGACAAGAACTGTGAACGAGTTAAGAAGGAACGGGAAACTTGTTCGCACCTGCAATTCACTTAGCTCGGGCTGACGTCTGCTATATCGTCTCGGGAATAGAAATTTATTTCTGCTATTTAGGAAATTAATTTTAGTCTCTGTTCATAAACTCTCTTACTTTCACTAATGTATTAAAAGAGAAAAAGCGCGAAAAATTGAATAAAATAAAACAATTTTCGAATAACATCAGTATTTTACAAAATAGGTAAGAAGAAGTAAATATACTTTCAAGTTCGGATTTCTAAGTCAAATTCCTGGGAATCGCAATAGTCTGTACTCAGAGTTTCTACTCGAGATTTCGCACAGAACAGTGCAAAATTAAGTTTAAAAATAAATGCGATAGACAGACAAAAAAAAATTTTAAAAAATGGTATTTGAAAATAGATTGAAAATTTCAATGTATTTTCAACTTGTTTTCAGACTAAAAGTATGTCAAGTATATTGAAATGGGTACCAACAGACGAAATGTCGGTGCAAAGTAATGAGTTCATGAATAACCAAACATTTTCCGATACGTTAAGCAGCCGTTTAAAGGGGTGATTGTTCGAATCTCCTGATAAAAAAAAACTGAGTCTTATGGGAAGTTTCTGTTCGTGCGCCGGGCTTTCTCTGTTTTTCTGAGAAAATTTTCACACTCACAATAAGTGATTTCTCGAGTTTCGGTCACAGAAATTATAAAGATAATCCTATCAAAAGCTACTGCTTATTAAAAATGTACACAGAAAGATTGTTTACAAAATCTGAAAAGCATATGGGTCCGTCAGCAGTGACGACATCTAAGTACATGCCATCTTACGAACTTGTTGGTTGATTTGTTATAACCTTTGAAGGAAGTATGATGAATATATCCTCTTTTAAGAGTAGAGAGAGGATAATGCAACTTTTCTTTTAAGTTATCCTTGACTTTCAAAATTTATCTTTCAGCTTTGAACGCGACATCAGCTAATAAGCGCTTTTATAAATAAATGAAATGCGAAACTCTACAAAGCACCCGATGACAAAAACATTCTGAGTCACATGCGTCAACACAACCACAATTAGAAAAATTAAAACGCCAGGGAGAATTGACATACATTGGTCTCTTGCGACCTCCGCCCAGAAATCAAATTTATAAGTGTGTGGGAACAGGAGTGGCGATGAAACTAAATTTGCTAAAAAGCGTAAAAAGACAAACATTTTAAAACGTAGCCTGTGCCAGGTAACATAAGTTACATAAGTAATAGTTGCTTGTTGACGATAAATACACAAATCAATCAAACAAATTTAAACGTTCCCGTCCATTTTGTAGGCCTTATAGGACTTGTAAGTGGAAGTTTATGGGAGGGATTTTTCTGGAGCTAAGGGTGAGCTCGCCGTAACGCAGGCACCTTCCACGGGATGATTTGTAGTCCTGACACCGAATTTGTAAAATTATTTCATATATTTACTTATTTGAATCATATGAACGCGACAAACGTAAAGACTCAACATAGAGTGATGAAGACATAGAGGTGAATAGTATTCCCCAAAATTGTTTGCATATATAGAAAATTGAAATGTTTCGAAAGTTGTATGCTTGTTCAATGTTTCCCAAGAGAAGAAAAGAAAACGCGTTATGTCCACCGGACATGTCGCTAGCTCGGGGAAAAACAATCCCTCCTCTAAACGGAAGTCACTCTTTTGACTTCTTGAAAAGGTTGAGGTTCCATCTCTGCTAGACCTCAACTGACGACACTGATCTCAGCTAAGATGTCACATTCCTGCCTGCTTAACCCTAAACTTACTGTTACCAACTGCTACTTATGATAACTTAAATCTAAATTAATTCTAGCACCCTCTAGCCGAACGAAACATATGTAGGAACAAAGCCGCATATTTATATATGTTTAAAGAGGACCTCTGTCTACCCCATATTTCTGCACATCTGCTTACCTATTGCGGATTATTCAATATATATAGTCTTTTATTTATTTATTTTTTTTTTTTGTTTTACAAAAGCAATCTTCTAATTTATTATATTAGTGTAACTTTAAATGTAAAAGAAAAAGTTTTTAGAAATTTATAAAAATTTTTCAAAATTTTTATCTCTCTCCTTTCAGGTTTATTGTGCGGGAGCAACAATGAAGTGAATAAATAATGCAAGATGAGCTAAAATAGCATCAATAAAGCATAGAAACAAAAGCAAAGTGGCCAAAATAAATATTCATGAAAATGGCAAACAAGCTGCGATCATAATCAAGAAGCAAAACTGAAAGAGAAGATGAGGAAAATCCACAAAATTTAAATAAAAGTCAAAAAAAAAAAAAAAACATGAAGAAAAAATAAAACTAGAAAATCGTAAAAGAAAGTGAAAAAGTTTTAAAGTTAAAAATTGCTGAGTCCTAAGGAATTAATAGAATTGAAACGTGAAACTTGTTTAATAATAAATTATTTTACACTAATTAACACAAAAATTATGTAATGTAAATGCATAAAAAAGAAAAAAAAAACGGTTTAATTAATTAATGCATAAACCATGAATGAACTTATTAAATAAACATTAAATTAATTTATAAGTAAATAAAACAAAACTAATAATATAGCAAAATATTCAACGATACATATCAATATGGTCTGATCTTTCCTGTTTTTTTTTTTTATATCAATTGAAAAAACAAACGTATATTATTTTTGCTTTATTTTTCTGACTAACGAAAAAAAAAAAAATATTTAATGAATTAACATATCACTGTAAGTAAACAACTAAGCAAAAAAAAAAGAAAAAAAAAAAAAACAGAGAGAACGAATAAATTAAATATTAATAAATAACAAAATTATTGAAACGTACATTTGATAAAATAACTTATGAATCCGTGTAGCAAAAAAGCAATATTGGTTAAGTCAAATAACAAAAAATAAAAAAAAAGGAGATAAAAAATAACTTTATTTATTTCCTTTAAATCCTTACTGAATCTGAACCGTTCGTCCCATTAATTGTCTATTATCGTAGTCACTTTTAACGATTAAGTGCAACGGCAAACCAATGTAATCTAACCTCAAATGCGTTTATAAAGTGAAATTGTTATCGTTATTCTAAATGTCATCATCGTCATCATTACCATCATCATCATCATCATCATCATCGTGATGATCATCACTTTGTAATTGTTACTATCTTCGGTTCTTGTAAAAGTAATTAGCTTATATGCGTATATATAGACTCGCATATATATACATATACATAGATATATATACATATAAATATATTGATTAAATTATTATGATGCAATAACATTAATTTGCGGGATATTGACTTCATCGTCATTGTGCTTATAATCCTCTTATAAAAACGGTGACAGTTAACTCCAACATGCCTGTGTGTGATGTGAATGTTTATCTTATAATATAAAATGTAATTCGAACCTAATGCCAATTGCTAATGTAAAAGTAAGAGAAACTAAGTATTCTACGGTGAGTATTACAGACAGTTGATCTTTATCAAGTAATGTGATGACCTTATTGTTACGTTGAATGTTTGAATTACTTCATTAGATAAATTGCTCAAGTGAAAAGACTATAGTGGGCATTAGCCCACTATGGAATACACTACAGCACTTTGCTTACTACCGTTATATATATGTAAGGATTTTTTTCAAAATAAGATGTTGGATGTGGTCGTCGTCCGAAAAGTGTTATAATTTGAATATTGATTTTAATTGCTTTCCTCCTTGACAATGAATTTGAAAAACTGCGTACTGCAGGGTGAACATAATGCAACAATGGGGGGACAGATGGACAGAGAAACTCATAATTAACGGTGGGTCCATCTCAATTCCTTATGGGTGTTGTATACTTGCACACAAATTGAATATACCTTTATACCACAAGTACTGTAGAACATATAAAAAGCTTTCATCATTACTTTTTGCTTTCTTTTCTCTGATAAGGAGAAACCAAGACAACCGCTAATTGCGACAAACTCGGTTAACATGTCATAAAATTTTGCAGAGACATTAATCAATTGATTGTTTAAAGGCTTACGATAACATTTCGATATATATCGCGTATGTGTGATAGATCACACATACACATGGACAATCTTATGCAATTGCCGAACTTAAAGTAAATTAAACATGAATTTGGCAAATGACATATAAATCAAGTTAATTTGAAATGTTTAATCTATAGATTGCGTGTGTCATACTTAATATTGTCGCCATTTTAAGAGAATCAATAGTTAGTAGCTTACATTTACTATTGCGACTACACTTGGTCCACACTAAAAACATAAATTATTTTCATATTGGTTTATATCTGTCCAAAGATAAACTTTGTAACATCATGTGCAGCATCGATGCATAAATAAAATGATTATTAAAAACAAAAAAAAAAAAAACAAAAAAAAAACGAAAAAAAAAGGATTTAAAAATCCATCAAAAACTAAATCATGCATTATCTTTGTAAATACACCAAAACAAATAAAAATATTATTGCTACTATTTATCATCCTGATATCCTGTATATTGTCTGTGCGCAGTTGCTGCAAAATTACAATATACCAACAAACCTCATTCCAGGTTTGCCATATACGTAAAAAAAAAAAAAAAAAACACACATTAAAACCTAATGGAAAATCATAATTCCGTTGGCATATGAAAAGTTATCACGACAACCACACATTTACGTCACTTATACGCTAGATAGGTGGTACAGGTACGGTGTCATAGATGAGTAATTTTGCTGATGATGAAATGCTTTCTTCATAACCCACTGGAATTATATGTCCATGATAACTTCCATGATCATCACCAAGGATAAGTAATTGGACAGATAACGTATCAGTGGTGTTTTAAAGTAAAGCAACCTACTGCACACAACATCCCTTGATAGATTCCAAAGTCCCCTAAAATGCATTGAAAGTCGCAAATGGGGTTTCCTTGAAATTTTCGTGAAGTATTTGTTTTATAACGCCCTCATAAATTAGCTATAATTATATCTTAGAAGGCTTGTGGATGAGTGCACGTTGCATGCAAATCCTAGAGTGACTTGAAATAAATACATTTTTCATTGCACTGGACGATGCAGTACCATTTACCGTCAGATGTTCATTTATGTATTTTTGTGTTTGTTATTTTTTAAAAATGTAACAAGTTTCAAGAACGAACCCTTTCGAAAATTGGATTTTAGGACTATTTCCCCGATAATGCCGCGATAGCTTGGAATATATAAAAAACTATTCGTGTCATAGAAGAATTGAAAGCAATTAAACCAATTATCTAATAATTTGATTGAAACTCTCTCCTTGGGGCATCCTTTTGAGATCATTCAACCGATAGTAGATGGCGTTGAATCTAGGGAATAGGCGGGCATTTCCGTTCAATTTTACTATTTCAGGCAACGACTTGTGGTTGGGTGTTTTTCATCCACTGCGAGCAATTTTTTCACACCTTCCTCCTGATTCAATACGTGGCAATGCTCACAGCTTTTGCTATCCTTTGAACCTTAAATGGGCGATTATTCATAAGACAATTTGATGAATTTGAGCAACGTTTTCGCCAGCACTTCAAGGTTATAGATATCCCGAAGTTATCGCAGTTAGTATGGTTACCAATTCGACTAAATTGTCGAGCAAAAATTTCGCCACAGTCAATGATACCGCAGTGTTCCCGTACCCAGTGGTCTGGTCTTTAATTTTGCGCCGACACATTGGTTTACGAAGGGATTAATTAACTGACAGCTCGATAGTTAAATTTCTTCTATTTTTACAAAGCCACTCATATCGACTGACTCAAATGATTTGCAAACAGTAACTGTGGGTTCAAAATGCCTAACATATCGTTGAGTAGCTGCCAACGCTTGGCAAATACGGCCCTGCTCATGTTTAGATTGGAAACTTTTCAATCAATCTACGTATTTCTAGATGTTGAAACGACAAGCACGGATAATGTATCGCTATTGTCTGCTAATCAGTCAGTGTAACTAATGCAGTATTCTAATATACTTAACTTAATTGAAGCGATGGTTACATAAGAGTGAAACGTCTTGACTTACTACCGCACCTGACAAATTATGAAAATATAGGATATTAGTAAGCATAGGGAAATTTTGCAAAACTCTTGTAAACCTTTTTAAATTTTGAGAAATTTACCATCATTTTTTATATTTCGCGATCGTTTTAGATATGAATTTCGGTAATAAAAAAAAAATTTTATCACTTTTACTCACTAATAGGTATAAGCTTTTTTTCAAATTTTTTCGAAAACGATGTCAATGTTAGAATGTAATGCATTGCGCGTATATTGACAAAAATCAGAATTTATTCTATTCAAAATTATGAAATATTTATGTAAATTTTCCTCTTTTGTATTGTATGCGTTGCAATAATCGTGCGCTAGAGCACACTTGAATTTTTATTGAACACTTGCTGCAAAATCATGTACAATGATTGTTAATGACTTATCTATTGTTATTAATGACGCATAGTACATGATTACATATCTGGTTAACAATCGAAAAGAAGAAGATATCAATCGAAAAGCTTGAAAAGAGACATTGTTTCTTTTGCAATAATGATTGATTGATGGATGAATAGATCGGTTAAGTTGATTGACACACTGATAGACACAAGTCAGACAGTAGCACATTACGCTTATTTGAAACGATGACATTGATATCATTCTCTATATAATAGTTTAGTATAATGATTACATTACATTAAAAGCAATATTGTTACACAAAACCATAAATACATATATAACGCATACACCGCGTATATGTGTTATATTCACGTGATGATATCATCAGGATATTTCACAATTGCCATAATGGAAGATGATAAACTGCTGCGTTTACATAAACGGAAGGAAAAATGCAAACTATCTTTGTAAAAACTTTTCTAAAGAGTTTTCCTTTCCTTTCATCAGCCAAAGCTAAAGAAAAGGAAACATGAAATAAGAAATAACCGGAAACGTTTCACAATACCACATCATCTACTATACAAATTGTCATAATTCTAAAGAAGTCATGTTGTGTATTTAGCTCATACATGCAGGCATATGACTGACGACGACGACAACTATATATAACTATATAAAATTGTACGATGCAATGACGTTGCCTTTGTTTAATTTTTATATAAACGTATTTATCTATGATGCTGTTAATGTCATTTCTCTCTCTCTCTCTCTCTCTCTCTCTCGTATGTTCTTAAATTGATATTCACAAACAGCACGTGCACTGCGACATGTGGGTTTCACCAGTGCATACTGATTTTCTGCTATTTATTTGTCGGAATATTTTTCAATGTGCGGGCGGGCGGGGGCGAACGACTACAAAATTTTGAAAAAGCAAATGCAAATTTTCAATTTTCATTAAGTTTTTATTATATAGTAAAATATTTGCTATATTATCGTGTATGAAAAGACGTATTTATATATGTATGCATATGTGCGTTATTCCCTTTATTATGCTGTCACTCTGCGGTAAATGCATAATGCACCAACGATGCGTTAACACAACAATCCGCCGAATTTTCACTTAAACCCAGTCGACTATGTGCACGGCGAAATTATCACTGTCGAATAATCGCCAAGCAAAATTAAAAAAAAAAAAATAAATAAATTTATCATTAATTGCAAGTAAAAAGAGCTTAACTAATAACCTTTTGCTTGGGGACTCAGGGATGGACTCAGTCAGTTGTTGTGTTCTTTCTAAAAAAACACATGTTCGTGACAACACAATTTCGTCAGCCTCTCCGAAAACAAACACTGCTCTCAAATAGGACGCGAGATCAACTCATTTCGTTTACCTTGATCATAGAAATGGCGATTGATTACATAAGAGTGATTCTTCTTATTATTCGATCAGAAACACTGAATGGAAAATATTTGTTGAAAAAATGACCTAACGCTTCGAAAATAATCCTAAGTAGTTAGCACACTGCACTATTGCTCTCATGTGTCTTCATAAAACAAAATCTTCCATTCATCAGCTGGTCATTGGTACTTAACTTTACCTTAAAAGGTAATTCATACACTTTTCGATCAAAGTGTAAAAAATTTTTAGGTAAATGTTTGTTAAGCCCTTTCAACTTTTATGTCTTGTACGGAGTTACTGTTAAAATATTTCTATATTTGTTTATAAATCTATAGCCGGGCGTGACTACCCGTTCAATACTTCACAGCACTTCGCCTAATAAAATGGTTTATCAATTTTTGTGGCAATATAGGAATAATTATACCTTATTGAAGGACCTATTTCTACATAAATCTTTTTACCATATAAAGGACGATTTCTCATGAAAGGGGGACCAAAACATAGGTGTACATGGTCCAAATTTACTATAATTAATTTCAATAAATAGTCGGACACAATCCATTTTCAATAGCGTTCGCGCTTAAAGACGCCAATGTACCAAATTTTGTCAAACTGTGTCAAAAACTGAGACCATACATAGAAATATATAGACATAG